AATACATCCTGAAGGTGCCGTACATAAGTGAAGCCCACACTAGACTAATTAGAACGGCGCTCAATAGTGAATAGAAGTGGAATTGACGCAAGACTGGTAGTGACGTCGGGCTGACCCATCAAATCCATGATCAACCCTCCACCCAACGAATCGTGTGACAAATACGACTGACTCTTCTGCGCTGCTGGTATGCCAAGCCGAACCACGCACTATGTAGTATGTATATCAAATATCAATTGACATGCAACATGTGCCCCGCACAAGATAAACCCACGTTCGTAGGCTGCTCTAGGAAGATAGTTCCGAAGAAAATGAGAGCCCACGAAGCAAGTGCGAGACTGGTCAACGAACGAACTGCTTCCGGGGACACACGCTCTCAGCCCATCCCACGGATCCTCAACGTGGCCGAGTGGATATCAGCACCCTCCTCAAAAATGGACACCTGAGATACTCCAAACAGGTCGGGACACACTCGACACCTACCTTCGGGAGGGAATGTTGATCAGAGATCTCGGGCCGCCCCTCGACAGTAGGAATGAAATTACCGGACAGCAGCACAACGGATTCACCGACTTCTTCTAATGCACAATAATATCTCATAACATTCCAGACAGACAATCATATTTAATTTGATCTGCTGTAAGGACACTTGTGCTATTTCCTGGGATTATTTCTAAGTGATATATTTATCTTTTACATCTATTAAAACACAGGGTTATGTGCATCAAAGTTTTAGAATTTAAAATACCTCAAATTTTTCACAGCCCTGTATACAGCTCACAGGGAGGAAGCTAATAGTATTTTTTGTTAGTAATAAGTTTCAATCGCGTCAAAAAATATCCTACACAACCGAAGATACAGCCGATTAAAATGTTGCTCGCACTAAACACAACGTAATATCGACAAAACCGATCAAAATGTCAATCACAAATCTTTGCACGTGCACGTGCGTGTAACAACCCCAGTTACTACGGTTACTATGCAAATTCCTATTTTTCATCTAATTTGCACGTGGGCGGTCGTACATACAGCATACAGACAGCAGAAATAATTCTTTGGATTATAGTAGAGACTAGAAAACCCGTGGTCACAGGGAGGAAGCTAATAGTATTTTTTGTTAGTAATAATGTTAAATCGCGTCAAAAAATATCCTAAACAAACCGAAAATACAGCCGATTAAAATGTTGCTCGCACTATAAACACAACGTTATATCAACAAAACCGATCAAATTGACGTTAAAACAATCATTGCACGTGCACGTGCGTGTAACAATCCTCGTTACCATGGTAACTACGCCACTTCCTATTTCTCGTCTGATTTGCACGTGTGCGGTCGTACATACAGACATACAGAAAGAATTTTCTGAATTATAGTAGAGATTAGTTATAGAGGAACTTTTACCTGAGGACCCCAGGCTATTATGTTCATTAACATATAAAGATTTGGCGGAATGACAGGCTGAGCGCGGCCCAGTAAAGGAACTTAAATTCATCTGACGTCCAATCAAAACGCAGCTGGGAGTCACGTGACAGCAACGTCTGGTACCCGGGTTGAATTGTAGGTTTACAACCTACCAGGACGCGCGCCGAGTTGGACTCGTCGACGGTCCTAACAATATATGGAACAGATATTTTACGAGTATCACCGGCCGTTAAGGGTTAAACTGCAAGGATAATGAATACGTAGCGCGGTTGTAGCGCGATGCACTACTGGGTCGCGCGCGCATCAAATAATGCTTCTAGCGCATCAAATAATGCTTCTCTGTTCTCGCAACCACGTATGTGGTATGCAGATCGGCGAGATGCGAAGGATTGACATCGTGAATCAAGTAGCGCGGTATCTCATAAACGTACAGCATATGAATATATAATACACATGTATAATTCATTATATATTAATATTTACCTGAGGACCCCAGGCTTTAATGTTGTTAAACGAATAGAGATTAGGCGGAATGACAGGCTGAGCGCGGCCCAGTAAATTAATATAAGAGCCTGGGGTCCCCAAGTAAAATTTTTCGAAGTAGCGCGCTCTGCTTTTTAATCAAAATACTTTTCTATTGTAACACGTCGTGGCAGTTAGTGGCAGTTAGTGGCAGTTAATGGCAGTTAGTAGTAGTTTGTAGCAGTCTGTAGCAGTTGCGCGCGGGGTGCGTTGCGCAGTAAAGACACGCGCGCAACTGCTACAAACTGCTACAAACGGCGCGCGAATGCGTGGGCGCGATTGCAGCAGTTAGTATAAGCAGTTGGTGGCAGTTGGTGGCAGTTAGTGGCAGTTTGTAGCAGTAAGTATAATAGCAGTTTGTAGCAGTTTGTGGCAGTTTGAGGCAGTTTCTTTGCAGTTTACTCCTCCTGTGTTGCTCCTTTTGCGTTTTTTGTTTTTTCTCCGCTTTTTTTGTAAGATCAAAAGTAAACACGTTGATTTATCAATAATAAGTCAAATTTCAATTAGTCAAAAAAAATATAACGTTCTGCCTTCGATCCATATGATTAGAAATAACCATTTTATGCCAAATAATTGAGTTAATTTTGTATACTGAATGGACTTTAAGTAAAACAAAATTTTTTAAGTAAAACAAAATTTAAATTTTATTGCCATTACAATGAATAATGATATCATAATAAATATAAGTAGACATCCGATAATAAACTTGTTACATCCAGTACAACTCAAGATGTCAGCCGACGCGACTTACAAAAATAAAGAAAGCTAGCATGTTATGTTCATTGTTCATAGTTTTTCTAACGAGCATGCTTAGCACTTGGGCTGTACCGAAATAGCTTTAATTCTACGTCATATTAAAAACTTTACATCATTTTTTGAGATTATTATTATTATATAACTTTATTCAAATCAAAAATAGAACATAAAGAACATCTTGATGACCTGATAAGTCACCAAGAGAAAAATAACACAGAATAAACTAAATCATGCTTAACTCTCTCCATGCTTTTCTATCTGTTGCAAAAAGTCTTAAATGGTATAAATCGTTTGTATTTACAAGTCTAAAGTTTCTGTCACTTAAATCGTTCAAAATAGTTTTTAACAAGTTTGACTGGTGTCGTCCGACTCTACCTCTCATCAAACTCTGACTCTCTACAGCAAAATGTAAGGCAAGCTGGGCAGGTGAGTTATTATCACTGCGGAGGATGTGACCGAGCATTCTCCACCGTGCACGAGCAACACGCTCACTTAGTGGAACAACTTCGCAGCGTTTGTATAGAGTCACATTTCGTATGACATTAGGGTAGGTCATGCCGATGATCGTACGGAGATGATTCCTGTGGCAGACATCAAGTTTTTGAAGGAGTTGTTTAGATGTTGCCCAACTGTTGCAATTATACATCAGTATTGAAACAACTTGTGCTTCATATATCTTGAGTCGAATCTTCAAGGGTATACGTCTACCTTGTTCCCAGACTTTTTTGTAGTTCTGAAAAGCAATGTTAGCAAGTATACATCGTCTCTTGACATCTTCGATGCTACACAACTTAGAGCCTAGAGAGATAGATGACCTCCAAGGTTCTCTACCTCTGAGTGGCTCTCCTTTGTCATCAACCTCGTTCTTGCCGGCCAGATAGAAGTGGGTGAACTCGGTTTTTGACTCATTGACAAAAAGATTCCACTCTTCCAATATCTCTTTACATATTGGCAACAAAGACTCCAAGTTGCTTTTATCCTCATCAGTAAAATCAGCATCATCTGCATACTCCCACTCGAGGGGTAGCAGATTCTCAGCTATGGGAGGGTTAGGTCTTAGATAGGACATAACAGCACGCAGGTGGTAAAGTGCTGCTGCCAGATATAGAGTGAACAAGTTTCCAGACAAACTGTCGCCTTGAAAAGCTCCAATCGTGACAATTAACTCTCCCGATATTGTTGAGTTCACTTTGATCTTCAGTTTAGTATTTGCGAGCAAATACCTTACCAGTCGAATGTCGTCCTCACTACAACCAGCATCAGCTAAAATGTCAAGTAATACCGACCTCTTTATGGTATCAAAAGCAGAGGACATGTCAATGCCCATCTTATGAAGAGACCAGCGTTTTTCTTTGACAACTGACACTAGTATTCGCTGGGTCCAAACGATATTTGCACAACTATGGCCAGGTTTATAGGCATTCTGCCAAGGACCAGTGTATTGAGATACTTGCCTTTGGATGCGCTTCAAGACTATCATGGACAATATCTTTCTAGTACCGTTTAGTAGGCAAAGTGGGCGCAAATTCTTAGGGGGGCCTAGTGGCTTTCCAGGTTTTTGGAGCGGAGTAAGGTATCCCTCTGTGAAAGAAGGTACATGTTCATGGAGCTCAAAGGATCGATTAGTAAGTTGTGCAAATGTGGAAAAAAAGATTTCAGGAGAGTGTTTGAGAAATTCGTTTGGGATCCCATCTGGTCCAACAGCTTTACCGTTCTTGAGTTTCTTGGCCGCAAGCTCAACTTCAAACGCTGTAATGGGGTTTTGAAGGGGCCTAGGGTTACCTGTGAACGGTTCTAGTGGTGGTTCACTGTCAGGTCCAGTGTAGTGTTCTTCGAAGTACTGGCGAATGATTTCAGCCTTGTCTCGTTCATTATCTACCAGTTGGTTGTCATTGTTGAAAACAGACACAGAGCCTGCACCCGTTTTCTGTTTGCCTGATAGTTGACGAGCAGCTTCAAACATTCTCCGTCCTTCGTCTATGGTGGCTATAGAGTTAGCTAGGCTGTTTGCTAACTCAACTCTCAATGTTTTCAACCGTTTAGTAATGTCGTTTGAGAGCCTGTTGATTTTAGCTCTGAGAGCTGTCCTGTCTCTGTATTCGTTGTTGTTCAGTTGTTGTAAAAGTTGTTTCCTTTCTTCAGACATGCTAACAACTTGACTGTCAGAGGAATGATTCCTCTTTCGCTGTGGCTCGCGAAAACCCACAGTGGAAACAGCAGCTTCTTTAAATTCACCAAAAAGTATATCAAATTGCTGTTTCGTGTTGTTGGAGGTAAAGTCAGGATCTGATACAGTTTGCTAAAGTTTCTGACGAAGTTCTTGCTGATATTGTTGTTGAGCCTGTTTGCTTCCAATCAAGGTTGTTGTGTTATAAGTCTTCTGAAATGCTCTGATCTCCCTGTACAAAATGAAGCGCTGCGAAAAATCTGCCTTGGCAACAACAAGTTTGTGGTCACTGCGGTGCTTTGTACCTGCATATGACCTGGCATCAGTTAGCAGTGCCTTGCTTCTGGACTTGCAGAGTATGAAGTCAATCTGTTGGAAATAAGGTTTACTTTTCCTGGTTGCTCGATCCCGAATCCAACCAGTCCGTGTGGTAATCTGTCTGCTGCTATGGGAGAATGAAGTGTTGGCAGCAAACAGGCCATTAGCAGTGAGAAAGTGTAGCAACCTTTCACCGTTTTCATTCCTCCTCCCAACACCATGTCTACCAATATTCACATGTAAACCATTTTCTACATCAACAGGGCTTCTTTTGCCAAGTTTGGCATTAAAGTCGCCTAACATCCATACTTCAAATCTAGCAGGTACACTGATAGCCTCGAGTAGCTCATCGTAAAATTGAGTTGCTAATCGGGGATTCTGAACTGACTTGGGATTCGTAGGGCTGTAACAATTAACAATTCTGATATGACAAGGTGGTTGATCCACCCTTTTAGCACTTAATTTAAAGTCCATATAAACAACTCTGTCACTGATCTGATGATGAGATACTATACATTCCAAAAAACGCTTGTTAACAATAAACCCAAGTCCACCGTGTCTATCGTGTCTCTGATCAAACAAAAACAATCGATGATGTCCAGGGAGTGTTGTTTCCAAGTATTCACGTGTCTTGGTCTCCTGAAGTGCTAAAATGTCTAAGTTATATCTGTCGATGTCCTCTGCAACGAAGTGTTGCCTGTATGTGGTCGATAGACCGCAAACATTCCATGTCCCAAAATTGAGTGTCGTAGCCATGATGAAAAGAGTAGCGTAGACTAGGAATCCTGCGATCTTCCTCGAGGCGTTAAACGTACTGACTTTTACAGTCATGCGGACCCGTTACAGTCACACACCATCCACCAACCATAAACTTTTTTGAGATACAAAAATAAATTTTAAAATAAATAACTCTTTTGCTGCTTAGGCGCGGCACCGCGCTTGACCCACATGTTATACAGTGTGTAGCAACAGTTCGCTGAAATGAGCTATAACATATAAGCGGTGCGCCGCGCCTAAACCTAAAACCATAAACTTTAAATATTGTCAAGATATTAAACGAGTTTTGCAAAATAATATAGCATGCTGACTTCGTAGGATATTACAATTATACCAGTGCCAGTTCCAAATGTGAGTCAGCGCTTAAACCAAAAGCAGTTGGCAAAAGGAGCCAGTTGCCTGCAAGAGCTTTACTAGCACCCGATTTACCACTTTTGGAGCACAAACTCAAACCTAAAACCGGCCAAGCACAAAAATATGTTATCGCCACGATTGGGTGGATTGATTCCCAGAATATTTATCAGCACGCGGCACTAATAATATATGAAGTTCATTATCGAATTTTAGATATGCCCTGGATCGTTTAACACATATATTGTATATAAAAGGTTATTAAAGAATAATTAATGTTTGGTTCGTATAAATCGATATTAATCAATTATTTAAAATAGTATTTGTATTTGTGTTTGTTATTATTAACTATTGAGTTGCGTTCGATTTAAATATTAAAACACTACTACAATACATTTCACAAAACAAAACGACGGGGACACAGAAAGGAGAAGGACAACACATCACACGGACGGAAACTGCTGCTGTTGACGAGTATCTGATTATATTAATTATGGGTCTTTTGTTCATTAAAATAAGTGTGATCATACTTCTAGAGTATATTGGGCTGACACAGTTGCTGCAAGGTTAACATTGGGGTCCAAAACCGGGAGTGTGATACAACTTAATTTCGCGTTACGTAGTAAGAGATACAAAATATAAAATATAAGATATAAGTGACGACTGTAGGTTCACGGATATAGCGCGGCATCATTTCATTATTCTGGCGCGGTAAATCACGCCGGGTAATGAAATGATAGAGTTATACAGTATTTAAGTTTCGCGCGCTACGTTTACACAATATATTTGTGAGTCCGTCCCACGTTCCAGACGTACACTCCAGACAAGTCCAGACACTAGTGTAAAGCGGATGAGCTGATCAGTGTTCTGTGTTATATGCATGAATATATAGTTTCTATGTTTGACTGTGGTGTGTATTGTGTGTGTTATTTTGTGTGTGTAGTATGAAATCTATATGGACTAGTTTGTGTGTTCTTATTATAGGCACATGTCATTTCCATCAAAGTTGAGTTCTGACCATTCATCAGTGTTTCCAGCTTTTTGAGCATTGAGTAGCATAGTTTTAATGCGACCTTTAACAAGTGCAATTGGGGACGAGAAGTCAATCTTACTAGAAGGTTTAAGGAATTTATTCCACATATTCGAGGTTTTATATACAAACAAATTGGTTGCAGCGGGGTTAATAAAGTAGTTATCACGTCGGGGTGACTTTTAAAATAAATTGTACATCGATATTGGAGTGTGAAGTTTGATTATTTTAAACATTTCAAGTAGACAGTGGTACTTATACAAATTATGCACGCAGAGTATTTTGTTTCTGCTGAGAAGGGGTTTACTTGATTCTCGTTTATAGAAGTCAGCTCCAAGTTTTTGGGATCCAATTGGGCGGGTTCTAGCACATGTTTTGAACTTATTACTGTATGCCTCTTGATCACCAAATAGAATACGAGTGCACTTTTTTTGAATTTTAAATATTGGTTCAAGCCTATTGTTTGATATGCCTCCCCACACTGAGATCCCATATCCTAGATGAGATTCGAAGAGGGTGTGGTAGAGGTCATTATACAGCTCTTTAGGTATAAATCTTCTCATACGGCAGAGTTTACCGACTTCACACTTTAATTTAGAACTAAGATATGCAGTATGAGGTTTCCAGTTAAGGTTTTTATCTATAATAACGCCGAGGAATTTAGTTTCATCAACACGTTTAATGACTGTGTTATTCAATGTTAAAATAAGATCATTACTATTACTACTACTACTAGTTACATCCTTCTTTCCTGGTGTAAAGTGAATGTAACAGCATTTCTTGATGTTAATGTGGAGAAGATTGCATTTCATATAATTGTAAACAGAATTCATTATAGTATTAGCTTTTTGGTAGAGATTCTGGACAGATTTGTCGACTACAAATATATTGGTGTCATCAGCGAAAAGTATAAATTTTCCTAGGTCTGATGAGTTATAGATATCGTTTATGTAAATTATAAACAGTAGCGGTCCTAAAACACTACCTTGTGGTACTCCACAAATAACAGGGAGTTTATCAGATTCCTCACCTAAAACTGAAACGTACTGCTGTCTGTTAGATAGGTAACTTCCAATAAGCTCGTTTGCGTTACCTCTTATACCATATTTGTCAAGTTTTAAGAGAAGTTTATCGTGACTGATAGTGTCAAATGCCTTTGATAAGTCGATAAAGATACCTAATACATGTTGCTTTTCCTTTATATGGGAGTTTACATAGTCAACTGAGTAATTAAGGGCGTGGTTAGTTGAGTGACTCTTCCTAAAACCAAACTGGTTCTCAAACAAAACGTTCTGCGACACAAGAAAACTGTACAAACGGGAGTAGATTACTTTCTCAAATAACTTTCCGAACACAGCTAGGGTAGATACTGGCCTATAGTTTTCGAGATATTCTGTACCGTCTTTTTTGTATATAGGGCTAATTTTACCAATTTTCAGTCGGTCTGGAAAAGTTCCATTTCTCATGTGTTCATTAAATAATACTGACAGGAGTGGGCTTATAATCTTAGACGTTCGTTTGATGACGTGAATAGGGATGTCACTAGCTTTTCTATTCTTGAGTTCGCTAATGATTTTCTCTATTTCTTCTGGTGTACAATCGCTGAGAAATATACTTGATATATAATTCCTTTTCCGAGAAGAATGTGACTTATTTCCTTTTCATCTCTTATTTCCTTTTCTGAGAAAAACATCTGTTTTATCTTTTTCTGAAAAGGAAGTTAGTCCAAGTCAAAAGCCTTATTCTAAATTTTTGAGACTGGGATCTATGCTATGTGGCTCTTACTAATTCGCTCGCTCAAAAATTTCACGTGACTTTGGTTTTTACAATTTTGCAACCGTAAAAAACCCTAATCCCAACCGTAACCCTAACCATAACCCCGAAGCTAACCATAACACTTACCACAACCCTAACCCTAACCCGAGCCCTAAACAATCGAATCCATGTTTTACTAGCCTGTCACGTGACCAAAACGGTTTTTTGCCCATAACTTACCTGAGGACCCCAGGCTATTATGTTCATTAACCGAATAAAGATTTGGCGGAATGACAGGCTGAGTGCGGCCCAGTAACCCATAACTCTCCGTGGAAGCATTTTTACCCTACGTCATAGGGGGTGATTCGAAATCAGCGTCCAAAAATACACCGATTCAGATCAATTTCACACCCTATACTAGAGTAGCAGAGAGGAGTTGAGTGTGCACTTCGATGTACACAATTTCTGACCACACAGGGTCCTTCATTAGGTCGTTCTAAACCAAAATCATCTAGGTACCCAATTTGTGTCGCTAGTCCTAGTGCTACAGGGCATATTTTGGCCCCTGAAGGTCGTAAAGGCTTCATTTTTAGCTTAAAATGACCGCAATGGGCATGTTTATATACAACTTATGAATCAATATGTGGTCTAAAGGTCATATTTTTGGAGATAATCTCAAAAAATTGATTTAAAAAAATTTTATTTACGATACTTGGTACTACTATTATCTCGTCAATATTTGTTAGACGATTTTAAATTAAATTATTTCTCTAACAATAGATAAAATCGAATAAATAAACCCTCCAAATCATGTCATACAGTATAAATCAAAGCTATACAAATAAAATCAGAAAGTTTAAATCATGAATCATTTCTAAATATGCTCTTGCACTGTCCAAAACATATGTACTCGTAGTTTTAATCTGCATTGTGGGACTTTCGAAACTCATTAAAAGCAGATTTCAGCTTCTCGAGAGTCAACTTAGCCAGCTCCCATGCACCTTGGAAAGCATCTACATTAGAGGACTTATACAAGTTCTCGAAAACTTCGTTCATGTCATACTTGATGTCTTCAAGGCCAAGAAGATGCTTCTTTAGTTCGTAGTCCTCGCTTCTGCAATGATGTTCATTCCGTCCTTGGCTTTAACATAATCTCCTCCTTGTAGAACACTTGACTTGGCTGCTCCTAAGGTAAACACACCAGAGTTAGTAAATGCCTCTCCGATCCCTGAGGCGTTTAGCCACTTTCCAATGGCCCCCATGACAATCTTAGACCAATGCATGTTTGCCGTCCCACTTTAGGTTAAAAGACATCAAAGGTCTTCATATAAATCTTCAACTTAACGTGTCAGGTCGAATTTCAAATGGTTTCTGATATTTCATGACAGAACAGCTTTCGGCATTTGCGTGATTACGATATCATCAGCTGTTAATTCCTGGTACATCCAGCCATCATCCACAAACGAACGACCATTCCATCTGCAATACGAGATCAAAGATATATTAGTTTCATGATCCATAATTTATCACATTTTCTTAGATAATTCAAGTTCAAATTTTAGGCTTTTTATTTGTTCCAGGGGTGATATTTCCACATTAGGACTTCATTTTGTTCTTTATTTTGATGCCTATTGTTCAAAATAACACGAGGTAGAAGTTTTGGAACTACGAAAACGTTGATTTTTAGTTACAAATTTTTTTTTCTGTGTTAATTAAAAAAAATCAATTTTTTGAGATTATTTCCAAAAATATGACATTTAGACCACATATTGATTCATAAGTTGTATATAAACATGCCCATTGCGGTCATTTTAAGCTAAAAATGAAGCCTTTACGACCTTCAGGGGCCAAAATACAAAAATCCCCATTCGCGACTGAGGGCAATTTACAAATTTGTACCTAGATGATTTTGGTTTAG